CGATCCTGAGTGGGTGGTATGCCCTCTGCTGCTTCTTGCTGTAGTCCACAATCAGCTCTTTAGTCTTGCTTTAGTCAGCCAAAGAGATTTCAGCACTCACCATGGGCATCAGTGTTGCTTTATAGTCCGTTATTATAGTCCGCTATTGTCCCTTTCATAGTCCCCTAGTGCAGCTGTGACTCCAGCTTCTCCCCATACCTCTGTTTGGCCTCCCTCACGGCTCTGCAGGCACTGTACGTAGTAGCCCCTAAAGTTACAAGGGATTGGTCTCCGGTACTAATTCCTGTGTTGTAGGCAGTGGTGCGGGACTTCAGAGCGACGCAGATGTCTTTGTTCATCCACGGCTTCTGATTGGGAAAGTCCCTGATAGCTCTGTTGGGGATAGTGTCCTCCACTAGTTTCCCAATAAATTCCACAACCGCCTCCGTAAACACACTGACATCATCACCAGAGCTGCATTGGAACCTTTTCCCAGACTGGTCAGACCAGCAGGACAATTCTGTCTCCACCCGGGCTGTCCACTTTAGCCGCTGTTTGTACCTGTTCAGGAGGAGGATGGAGGCGTGGCCTGACCTGCTCAATGGTGGTTGAGTCTTTTTTATAGCCGTCTCTGAAGGGAGAAGTGGTCTAAAGTTCTATCTCCTCTGGTGGGGAAGGCGATGTGCTGGCAAAGTTCTGGCATCGCCTTCCTCAGGTTGGCACTGTTAAAATCCCCAGCCACGATGAGGGCTGCTTCCCGGTGGTTAGCCTGGTAGCTGGAGATAGCCTCATGTAGCTCGGCTAATGCAGCATCCGTGTCCGCCTGCGGGTTAATGTAGAACGCACTAAAAATACCGGAAGTGAATTCTCGGGGGAGGTAGAAAGGCCAGGATTTAAAGGTTAGATGTTGCAGGTGGACAAGCAGGATTTAGAGAGACAAACAACATCCCTGCACCAGTTGTTGATCATGAGACAGACACCTCTGCCTTTAGACTTCCCCGACTCCATACGATGAACTGTGAAGAACTCCACTGGTTGAATTGCATGGCCCGGTACACTGGGGGTCTGCCATGTCTCCGTGAGGTAGATAATGTTGTAGTCTCTTGTGTCCCTCTGGTACCTGATCCTGGCTCTGAGCTCGTCCAGCTTGTTGTCCAGGGACTGGACGTTTACGAGCAGGATGCTAGACAGTGGTGGTTGGTGTGCTCGTAGCCTCAATCTGTTCCTAATGCCGGCTTGTTTCCCCTGGGGCCTGTTATGCTGCCGGCATCCTGTGATGTTATTGTTGGGAGGCCCCCGCAGGACCTTGCTGGGCCAGGATGCATCAGCAGAAAAAGCGGTGTAATGTAATAAACCAGTAGTCACCAGTGTGATATGACAAGGACACGACATGGTGGACACCGTGCAAAATGATAAATAAAAAGTTAAATAACAAGAAAAAAAAACCTGTAAGGGTGCTGGAGCAGGTATGATGATTGCCGCCATCTTGACTATCATGGAAATGTCAAATGGCTTAACTGTGTCACCTCAATAACTGCATTTTTTCTAATTTGAACAATACAATATTTCTTCATATGAACAATCACAAACAAAAAAGATTGTTATAAATACAAGCTTCAAATTAGAAACTTGTGAACACTCATACATGTTAAAAATCTGTGATCTTTTATAAAAAAAAAAAATTGAGTGCAGAGTCTTGAGCTCATACCCTAAACCCAACAGGAAGTCCACCATTTTGAATTAACTGTGGGATTTTTCATGATTTTTGTCACATTCAAGAACAAACTTCTCCTAGAGGGTAACTACTTACACGCCTCAAATTTGGCCAGCACATATGACAGGCCTTGGTGATTAAAAGTTATCAAAACGGTCTACAAAAGTTTGAGGCCGTGGCAATGGCAGCCCTCTTAATTGTAATCATTTGTCTTTAAAGCAGAAGCATGTCTAATGACCCTGTACATGCTCCAATCTGCCTCACAACTTACATACTTGATCATTGTTTTATTCATATCCCAGCCTGGGTTTGGGGTCTTTCTGCGTGGAGTTTGCATGTTCTCCCCGTGCAGCGTGGGTTCTCACAGGGTTCTCCAGTTTCCTTCCACAGTCCAAAAACATGCTGAGGTTAATTAGTGTTTCTAAATTGTCCGTAGGTGTGAATGTGGGTGTGCTTGTCTGTAGCCCTCTGATAGACTGGCGACCTGTCCAGGGTGTCCCCTGGATTTGCCTGCAGTCACTGGGATAGGCTCCAGCTCGCCCACAACTCCACTGAGGATTCAGCAGTGTATAGATAATGGATGGATGGATGGATGGATGGATGGATGGATGGATGGATGGATGGATGGATGGATGAATTTCTTTTGTGGGGCCTGTGTTTTGGAGGTAGGAGTGTGACGGTATGAGTGCAAAAGGTGTTGGAGAGGTGACATATATAGATGGCAACTAGTGGACATACCAAAATACTGGCAGAGAAGAGGACTCTGTGTCTGCAGAAGCATTTAATTATACTAAATCTAAACTTTTCATTTTTAATATCACAGAAGAGCAAATACCCTACTGTTCAACTTAGAAGTAATGTAATTATTGTCATGTGAAGCAGTTTTGAATCATTAGACATTTAAGTGATATTGCACAGGAGTGTACTCAGTTCTGTTGCACACTTAAGAGGGCTACATCCTAATAATTACAAATGTTGACATGCTACCTAAAATTACACACTGCTTTCTGGCGTAGTACAGAATTTAAAAAAAATAAAATAAAAAATTATCCGTGTTTCAACTTTTGGCAGTAGGTTGTATTTGTGCAAGAACAAAAAATCATTTTTTATTTATTTATTTGTTTGTTTTTACCATGAGGTGATGCCAGTTACTATGATTAAAAAATCAGCTTGATGGAGAGAACCTCTTGACTACTGCATGTGCAAACACTGTTATAAAACACTTTTTCCTTTTTTGATTTCTTTTTTTTTTTTTTTAATTATCAGTGATACATAGTAATGCTAACTTTGATAGATTTGATTTATCACTGCAAAGAGACAGAGGGCTGCTTCCTACCTGATAAAGTCTCCCTCTAGACCAATGACCCGCTTGATAATTTTCTGCTGGGGATTTCTGGGTGACCTGAAAAAAATAAAAAATAAAATACAAACATATAAAAAGCAATAAGCATAAAACCACCAAACTTAAACAAGAAAACAACAAAACTTAAATATTGTAAGTGTGATGGAGTAAACTCTTAAAATAGCTCTGTTTACATCTCAGGCTAAGGCTTTTATCATTTATCTCCTCTCTTGTGTGTCTGTTACATGATCTCATTTGATGTTTTTACATGTGCTTAAAAGCAACACATCTTAGGGTTTGAAAAATCTAAGACCACTTCAAAAGTTTGTCCTCTTTTTATGTAAACTGGAAATAACCAGAGTTTATTGGCTTAAAAACAGAAAGAACTTCTGACGGTAACATGAAGAAGAAATATTTCATAATCGTCAGTATTTACAGGATACTTCCTTAAGTTGTATCCTTTTATTAAAGCAGCGTCCAGATCACACTCAGATGGAGTTAATCGACTCTTTAAAAGCTTCTCCAATGAAATCAGCCTGCAGCCATTGCTCACCTGTTAGAAATTAAGCTGTCTCACATTCCCAGCAGAACATTGCTTGCTAAGTAGCATGATAGTGAGAATCTTGCCACTACTACTAAGTGAAAATGTCAGAAGTCAAAAGTTATTTTGTGAAGAAGAAGCTTCCACAGTGTTGAATCGTTGCTAGACTGTAGGCTTCTGTGGGGTCAGAGCACAGAGTAACTTTTAAAAAAGAACAGAAGACTCCAATCAGCAGAAGTGCAATCAAAGGAAGGCAGTCTGGTAGTGGTCTCTGAGGATGGGGAGCATCTCTAAACCACTTCTCAGGAGGGGGACCCACAGAGTGTATAAAAGTTGGATGTAAACTTCAGGACAAGTCTGCTTTTTTTTCCCACCAACTAGCAGAGGGCAACTCCTCTGGTTGTATAGAAGTCTGTGAGAAAGTGACTTTATAGCTCACATGATTTGTTTTTCCTTCAATAAACATGTTCTAAATGGGTTTAGGCTTTCAATGAGCACTTTCAAATCCCCTTTAATACAGGATGGTGTTCAATTAACAAAACATGGTTCCATCCAGAGAAAAACAGACCATAAAGCAGGGCATGTTTGATATGTTTCAGGGTGGGCTATCTTGTAAATGACAAGTTGCTTCAGTTTGGACTTGCCTGGTGTCCTTGGCTTCTCAGTCAAATTCGTCACATTCAGTTTCAAAAATCTCAAATGGAAACAGCCAAAACGGCAGGCTTCAGGTTTTGAAATAGTTCTCCATAAATCAACAGGTGATACTTAAGATAGCTTAAAACTCGTCAGCATTCAGATGACACTGAATAGATTGGATGACTCATAAGGTTCTTGTTCAAGTAACTGACCCTCCCGCCATTGTTTACCTGTTCTACATATGGCTGTGCCTCAGGTTTCCAGCAGAACACATCAGATTTGGACTGAAATGTAGATAACACGCAAATTATTCACATGTTACAACAACATTTTGCATTAACCATTACACATTTTTAGATTAGCTGATTATGGTTTCACCTAACACTAAAAAAAACAGGCAACTGCAACTGAGAGGAAAGTATTTCTGTTTGAAATATAGCTTGGATGATAGTCTCAGTCAGTGTTTATACTGCACATACTTTAGCCACCAAACTTAACTGCCAATGTTTTTTAATGAAATGTGGTTTGATTTGATCATTGACAGTGGAAATAAACATTCATTTTGACACTAGAGAAGGGGGCAATCTGCAACACAGTTGTGTTTCTTAGACCACAAGTGCACTAAGATCCATCCCTGCCAAATTCAGTTATGCCAGCAATCTTGGCACATTTTCACAAAATGCTGCAGTGAGGTTGAACACAAACCCATGAGATCAGTGCTAAATGGAAGTAATTAGTGCAATATAAAAGTCATTGACTCCTCGAAATCATGGATCTTTTCAATTAACAGCCAATACGTTCTGAAGAAGAATTAATATACAGACTGCCATAACATAGCACTTTTCAATCTTAGCGGATAAGGCACTTGACAGTTTTTCCTCTCATTTATCTATTTAAACATAAACCTATAGATCTTAAGATCAAGCAGTCCGAATCACTCCCGCTGTCAGTGCAAACAACCACACTGAATAATTCAAATTTGGTAGAGTGGCAGTTAAAAAAATTTGGAACATAAACATCAGTGTTAGATGAGTTATTTAGCTTATTTTCTCTCTCATTTACAGCTTAGACTAGACAACAGTAATACGTACACTTATGCAGGAGACTGTACAATAGGACTGTAGAAGACACTGGATGTCAAACATTTCACTAGAACTCTTTGAGTCACTAGAAAAACAGTTCAATAAAAGTCACTGGAGGTATTGGTGATGATTCAGAGATATGAACTTTGGCTACAATGAGCACACAGACAAGTATTATGCTGAGAAGAATCACCACCAGCATCAACCAGTCCAAGCGTACATGGTGCTGCCCAGTGGTATGTAGGCTCAGCAGCAGTTTAGAAAGGTTTATCTGAGTCAGTTTCAGACCTTGTTCGGGGAAAATTGTCATTGTTTAGAACCTTTAACACTCTGAGCCTCTCCATCTCAGTCTTGCCACTTGGAGGTTTCTGACTTCCATAACTACCCCTGCCAGAAAGAAGTACAAGGCTTCATCTTCCTCCTCATTCCCGTTAGCGCTTGTCTTTCTCACTCCACCTGTTCTTCCTCTGGTTCTTCCTCGTCTCTCTCTTACTATTCTGTTTCCTTCAGGTCCTACTCTCTGCCCTCACCATCCTCCTCTCTTCCCCCGTCCTCCTCTGTATTATGTTCTCTGGCTCATTGTCTCTCAGCTTCTTCTTTTCATATATCCTAATTTTTCTTCTACGAGTTCTCCTTCTTCTTCTAGTCCTCATAGTCACCTCTACCTCCGCTCTGTCCTCTACCTCCTCTCCGTTGCCATGGGGATAAAGGCGATCATGACTGACTGACAGCACGCTAAGCCAATTGGATTCACTCACAGTCACAGAGCTTAACACTTATTGGCCAGTCCCAGGGGAGCCGGAACGTATCGATGTGTGTGTGTGTGTGTGTGTGTGTGTGTGTGTGTGTGTGTGTGTGTGTGTGTGTGTGTGTGTGTAATAGAGTGATGGATGATCTCTTCTCCAACAGCAGAGGAGACGGAAGAAAGAATCTTTCACTCTCTGCCTCTCTCTCTCTCCCCGCTCTCTTTTTAAATTCTGGATCTGTCTCGCTCCCTCACTCTCTCACTCACTCTCAGTCTCTGTCAGTGACTCTCGCTTCCCCCCCTCCCCACCTCTCTCTGCATCTCCCTGTCACTGTGGAAAGCAAAAGAAGAAAGACGTTTGTTTTTTGGAGATATTTGGGGAGAACAAGAAAATAGCTGCTGCTGCTGGATGTTAACATGCAGCGCTGCATTCCTTAAATAAAACACACACACTGCATGCTGCTGCTGCTGCAGCAATGCCAGGAATACCTGCTGAATATCTGCTGCTGCATGGTGCATGGGACATGATGGATACCACCTCGACTGGTGAGTGTTTGACTGCTACATGATGTGTGTACGTGTGTGTGTGTGTGTGTGTGTCGTAAGGACTGCGGTAGTCCTTGAGCGCCGTGGCAACTCAGCCTGCAGTTCTGACAGCTGAGGGGAATAAGAAAGCAGGGCTGGGAATTTTTGTCGCAGGTTTTGAATAGGTGTGAGAATGCTGCAGCTCCTTTCAATCACTCTTCAGTTGTTGTATACGTCGGGTCTTTTCGTGTTTTGTCACTTTGGTTGTTCATTTATTGCTGCTGAGAGAAAGGAAATAGTGTTGAAGTCTGCAGAGTAGAATCCTGTCACTCCACAGGTTCATCCACTGAAGTCAGAGAAAGGCAGAGTGGGCAACAAGAGCTGAAAGCAGGGGTATTTTTGGGTGCATTTCTGCCGATTTAGGTATGACACGTGACAAAGGCTGTGAGTCAGGATTGCACGGCGGAATCACATTAACAGTTACTTGTCCCCTTGGGGAACTGAGCCACGAGGATGCTTCTGGAGCCCTAACGAGGGGAAAGTGTCCGAACTTGGAGGCGGTGTGGACAGATGCTGTGTGCTGGTGTGTGATGTGGCAGCATGAATCAGGAGAGAGCACAGCAGTACTTACATTGTGACCGGTGCAACCAGTGCAGGTCACAGGATTGGCAGCAGGGTGATCTGCTCTAATAGGACGATAGACGTTCACACCGCTGCCTGCCTAATTCACCAGAACCTCAGTCTCTCTCTGTCTCCTTTCTCCATCCTCACTCCTGCTGTATTTAAGCCTCGTGCATAATTACCAGCAGTGCACTAAAATTCAGCACATTTCCACCCCTGCCAAACGGGGGTTAAGTAAAACACCTGACACCAAACAAACATTCAGTTTTCTCATGTCAACGTGCAGCAGCGTCAGAGTGTGAGCGTCGGCTGTGAAGACATGAAAGACGCAGCCCTCCTCAGAGCTCCACAAGTGACACCTCAACCTTCATCCTACATTTTCATCACATGATTTCTCAGAGGACTCACAACACATTTGCTCTGATTAGATTCCATGAGCAAAACGGCCTATTATTATTGCAATAGCAGGAAGATTACCCCAACAAGACTAATTAAATCAATAAGCATTTTTCTCTGTATAGTCACTCCCTGAGGGCCGCAGGGTGGAGCTGTGGTTGACTGTCGCCTCAAGGCTAAAAGGTCTGGGGTTTGCCTCCCAGCCTGGGGTTCTTCTGTGTGGCGGTTGCATGTTCTTATTTAGATTTTTAAAACAACAGTCGAGCGAGTGGCTACATTTTTGAAGAACTAAACCGGTAAATATGGACGCCAAATCCAAGCAGCAGCGGTCTGAGGAGGAGACCCAGTGCTTCCAGGCACTGTGGTCTTCAACTGAAATCCAAAATTAGTTCGAGGGAGCCTCTCTGACCATCCAGCAGGAGATGGCTGCAGCCGGGTACAAGCGTAGTCTTGACCAACTCCTCATTACACCCAAGAAACAGAAAAAGGACGACAGGGACCAGAAACGGCTACG